GTTTTACTTAAAATTTAAATTTAAAATATTTAATTTTAAATCTTAAACTCTTAATTATTGATCTATTCATTAAAGTTTCATTTAATGTTATTTTTGTAGATTATCATAATGAATTGATATTTAAAATGTTAAGATTAATTACAAAAATTTAAATTTTGTTTTATAAATTATTAGATAAAAAGATTTATTAAAAATATTTAAATAACTTTTTAAATAATCTTAATATTTAAATTAAAATTTTATTATTTAAATATAATATATATAACTTATATACAAATGAATATTTACTGTTTAAAATATAAAAAATTCATAATTTTCACTTTTCTCGCACATTTTATATCATCCAATAAAATAAAAAAAAAGGGAAATTAAAATTGGTGATGGCGTGGAACCCACTTCCAGTGGAGGAGGACTCAGCGGGCCACCACTCTGACGTGCACCGCACCATATTTTTACTTTGTACCTTTGCAAAATCCTAATATTTGAAGGGACCCACCAAGCTCTCCTTCGGCCCGCCCCCCTGTCCCTGTCCCCTCCACCACCTTCGTTTTTGTCTTCTAGCTTTTCTTTTTTGGTGTTTCTATGGCTTCCAATCACACCACCACCCCACTCCAATTTCAGCTGATTTCACGTAACTTTTTCTACCTCCTTCTGTCTTTTCTCCTCTTGGAACTTAGTATGGCTGCTCCAAGTTGATTCATTAATTAATATTTGCTGTATTTTCGATTCATGGGTAAGTACATGTCTGTTCTACTACATACTACAACAAATATTAGCAAAAAAAAAAAAAAAAAAGCTATAAAATATTAGTTTTTTGAGGAATAGAAAGTGAAGTTACTCCTAACAATTCATAACATCATGAAATAATACTTTTTTTTTATAAATAATTAAAAGAGATCAGTGTTCATCATTAGCTGAATTTCAAAAAATTTAAGAAAGAAATCCTTTAAAATTATATTATTTTAGTAAAATATTAAAAGAATTAAAATAATCTCATTCTTTTTTAAAATTAGAGAGTTTTATGACTTTTTTTCTTAATTTTTGTTTATAATCTAGGTGATAAATATTTTTTTCTTATTAAAAATTAATTAGATAATCTTACTTTTACAGTTCAGCTAACAATATATAAATTGTTGGAGGAGGACAGCCTCTAATATTAATCTCCTAAATTATTTAAAGGTTAAATTATTAATTTGGTTCTTGAACTATTATACGGATCCGATTTGGTCCCTAAACTAAAAAAATCCTTGATTTGATCCTTAAACTATTGTATGGACCCCCAATTTGGTCCCTACTATTTACCCATTTACCCCAAGTTAGTCATTCCATACAAAAACCAACTGACGTGTCTTGTTATTAATGTGAAACGTGGCTATTAAGTTACTGTTTTTTGTCATTAAATTACTATTTTTCGTCGTTAAATAACAGACACGTCAGTTATTTTTTGTATGGAATGATCAACTTAAAGTAAATTGGTAAACAATAGGGACTAAATTGGGGGTCCGTACAATAGTTCAAGGACTAAATCATGGGTTTTTTTTAGTTTAGGGACCAAATCAGAGGCATGTACAATAGTTCAAGACCAAATTTGGGGTTTAACCTTATTTAATTGTGTAATTTGATAAATATAACACAATTTTGAATTAACATATATAAAAAAAAAACAATTTGAAATTAATTGTTCGTAGTAGTTTTATCTAATTTCATTATTCAATATTCTTAAACAACATTTACTTTTCTATAAAGAAAATAAATAGATATAAAAAAACACATTTGAATATATATATAAAGGGGAAAGTCAGCATCAGTCCTACCTCAAAAAAAAAAAAAAATTGAGTCCCATAATAAACGACGTCATTTTCCTCTCAAAAACCCAACCCTGATGTTCGTCTTTTCTTTCAAAAATTCAGCCCCTGATCCTCGTCTCCTCCAATCCCTTCAATTTTTCACTCAAAAAACCCACCAGTAATGTCGCCCCCTCTGCAATCATCT